GATACCATTAAGGAAAAATGCAGTACTAGCAATAGAGTAAATGAGAAGAAAAGAAAGAAGAGAAAGTCTAAGAAAATGCTGATCATGCATAATGTAAAAAGACAATAAAGATGGTGTTCTATGAATATTTCATAAGTAATATTTAGGAAATGGCTGACAAATGGGAGTTTGCATGATTTACAAAGAAAACAAATTGGTTACAGTATACAAATATTTAAAGAAGGAAAGACTAGATAATTCTGAGAGCAATTTGGGTGAGGCAAGTTGATGTCCTTTTATACAGTATGAGATCAGAGAAAAACTGGCATGAAAAGTGCCCTGAGTTTACTTAAGAGTGCAACATAATCTGGATTGAACAATCTCTAAAGCATTGGGAAATGTATGCAAGGTATGTTATGATATGACAGCATCATTAATGCATAAAGAAATTTATAAAATCAATTATTAACTGATAAGCATATAGTTTAAGAAAGGTACAAAAATATAAATAGCAACTGGGTACTGGTAGCTTGTTGCTGTAATCCTAGCTTCTTGGGACACTGAGATCTGAGGATCCCAGTTTGAAGACAAGTCGGGCAGGAAAACGACCAGAAGACTCTTATCTCCAATTAACCACTAGAAAACTGGAAGTGAACATGTGGCTCAAAGTGAAAAAGCTTGGGGACACTGCCCAGTCCCTGAATTCAAGCCCCATGGTTGACTAAATAAATAAATAATACAAATAGTCATTTCAAGAAAGTAAAATGAGAAATGAGCAATCCTCACTGACAATTAGCTTTTACTAATGACTAAAGGAACTGGAATTCTAATATACTACTATATTTCACACTTATCAGATATCATTTGACATTGGTTTATATATTAGAAAATGGATAAAACTTACTTTGATAAAGATATTATAAATTGGTGTACAATTTCCAATAGACAGTGTGTCCATTATGTATCATAGGCTTTTTATCTAATGTTTCCACTCTAGGAATCTGTCCTAAAGGACTAACTGGGTATCTGGCAAAAGGGGATGAAACCGAAGCACTTCCAAACAAGGTCAGCCAATGGCATAGAGTGTAAGTTAGGAAGAGTGTAAGTTGGAAAGAACTACACCAATAAATGCGTGCAGGAAAAAATATATCATATATTAAGTCAGAACAAAAGGGCATGCATTTTACATTCACATCTCTTGAAAGATAGTATATGGAAAAAAATGTTTAGAAGGTATACAAATTGCAGTGATTATTTCTTGGTAATACATTATCGTTATTTTAATCATTTAAAATCTTATTTCTGCTTATTTGTGTTTTGTAATTTTCCCACTAAGAATATGTATTAATAATGCAATAGAAGAAAATTATAAAGTTAGCTGCAAATATATTTTACTGTGATTATTATGGCTGTGATTAAGCTCGAAATTGAAGTCATTTATCCTATTCTGTTTGGAAAGACAAGACTTTTCCCATGATTACCAGACTGATGAGTTGGATTGTAGAATTTTCCTATCAATAAAGACTGAAAAGTATTCACTAGGAGGGATATGTAATTTATCTTTTGCTTATAACATGTTATATGAACAGGGCAGGACCCTCCAAACAGTTACTTAGAGGTAATGTGACCTTGGAAAAGTCACTGCTTCTTTTCTAATGTCTCATGTTCCTACCTCATTTAAAATTGGAATACAAATATACAGCATGCCTACCTTAACAGCGATTTAAAGAACCAGGTTAAACAAGAGCTCTGAAAGATTTTATAAACCAGTAAACAGTGAATAGATGAGAGTGCTTTTTGTATCCTTTATACATTTATTGTATCTGCAGATATGTCACATTCTAATATTTCAAAGCGAATGCATCTCAAAACCTGAGTGGACCAAAAAGCACCATTCTTGGTATTAACAAATAGCCCGAGATAGGATTCAATGTTGAAGAGCTATCCGCTGGCCTACTCTTTTACTGCCTGCTGAGTTACCTTTGAAGTTGTAGCTGTAGAATGGGAAAAAATACAAGTAAATAAAAGGCTAATGTGTATGAAGATGGCTATCCCTCTTATATTTCTAAAGACGCCGAATGCTTGGACCGAGTTTAGGCAAGCACAATAGTGATTATTTACATGGAATTATGGGAGTAAACACTCGTGAAGAAAGTCACTTGATGCTTTTACTCAGCATGATAGAAACCATTAACTCATGTTTTCTATGGAAAACTGTCTCAGCCGAGAAATTTGGTAACCCAGTAGGCTATTAATAGGATGCAGAATGTGATTACTCCTTTTGGATTACTTCAATATGTAATTACTTTTAGAAGCTAGTATTAAAAAAACTCTATTAAATGATAATTATGGAACTGTATTTGCTTTAAAGTTCTGTGATAGTTCTAAACATGAGAGTTGGGTTTTTTTTTGCAACTGTTTGTAGTTAGTGAAGTAATTTCTTGCCAAGCACTAGCAATTCTCTGCAAAGAAAAAAAATGTAACTGAACAGTCTCCTATAGGAGAGAGTAAAGGAGATAAATTATGTGGTGGATTGGTTCATCAATGGAAGTATAATCATGAAAATAGAGGTAGCATCCGCAAACTGTTGTGACAAGACAAAATACTTATAACACCTACAGAACAACATGTCTTAGCATCATGTTTCTGGAGGTTAATGATGACTACACATGACTATACACAGAAAAGAAGGTGGATCAGTTAATAAAGCCACAGGTGTCTGGTGTGAGAGGTTATCTCAGGATAATCAGTGATCTTGCTAGGAACAAAGACAGAAAAGGGACATTAAATATAATTCAGAAATTACATCAAGAGATAGATAAAAGTTTGCGTACAAATATTTGCAAAAAGAGATGATGAAAAGAGGAGTGGCATTTGAGATGCCCAGAGACTTCAGACAACAGAGCAAATCCTCTCATTATTGAAAAAGCCAGGCACATAGTGACATATATTCCTCTAGATAGTTTATCATCAGAGAACAGATATGAGCCTAGGCTTGAGCCACATGGCAGAGAGAAAACATAGTGTGAAACAGAAATTAAGATGAGAAGATGGAAGGTGCTCAGAGGGGAGGCAGGGGTCCTGATGAACTGAAATACAGATGTGAATGTATCTTAGAAAACCTTATGAAGTCTCTGTGTGTGCTACCCTTTTCAACTCAGCCTGGCACAGTCCCCAAATGCTCACCCACGTGGCAGAGTATTGGGAGATCCTAGATCACAAGAAATTTTGTATTACAGAGGTGTGACAGGAGAGGTATGCATACTGTGGGGTAAGAGCTACCATTCACCTTCGTCATTTACAGAGTTTCCTCTTGAAGGGGATGACCTATTCACATTAACCCATGCCAAGGGGTAAAAGAAAAATCCTAGCTAAAATACAAAATTAAAGAAGGCTGAATGACATTTCCATTATAAAGGATAGGGATCATTTACAAAATAATTTATAGAGCTCCTTTAACATGCATATTCCTACTCATAACTTTCTTCATATCCTGGCTCTTATGAACAAGTTCCCCGTAGAAAGCAAGGCTCTAGGAGACAAAAATCTTTGTCAAATACGTACGGCATTTTAGCTGGAAGTCTCATTGGATGGATGCTTGATTTGTAAGACAATGCATTACACGTTCTAGCCAGTTCAGGAAATAATGAAGTGTGTCAAAAACACATTCTCATCAAAAGCAAACATCATAGGGAGCCCTGCTCCGATTTCATGGGCAGCCACAGTGAAGTTAAGGCTGTAACACTGAGCCTCTCAATGTCTGGCTCTCCCGCAGAGGGATTTGGGGTAGGTTAATCAATGGTTCTGTGCCTCCTGTTCTTCCTCCATAAAATGGAAACAGCAACAATACTAATAATGTTTACCTATGTTGTTAAGGAAAGTAAGTGAACATAATGGGGAAGGATGTTGGTGTGAATGCTTGGAGCATAGCTACTGGAGATATGGTATTGATGACAGTCCTAGCTATGATGGAGAAAGTAGTAATCTTTATACTGCTTTTGATCCTATGAGCCTATTCTTAGTCACTGGAAAGACAGTATAGTAAACCTGCAATCCTGGGCAGGGCTAGCATGGGACTAATGAAAACCATCTGTACTCTGAACTTTCCGTTTTCAAGCTCAGCATTTCTCATTGGTCTGTATTTTCACAGTCTTCTATCATCATTAGTATATATGGCCAGTTTTCACCAAGGAAAAGTACTTAGAGCCAAACTGTGGCTGACAGTCAAAAGGCTAATTCTTTGTCCCTGGCTCTGGCTCTGCCACCAACATTGCCAGGGAGCTACATCATTCCAGGCTTACACATACACAGGCACACACACACACACACACACACGCACACACACGCACACACACACACACACACACACACGCACACACACACGCACACGCACGCAATCCACTTCCAATAATCTGCAAGTCTAGAGCCTTCTTCATAATAAAGTAAGAGGTGGAAATCACATTAAATTTTTCCACAGTTACAATGGATGTCACATGATTCTTTTCATGTCCTTCAGCCATTAAATCTGCACCCACCTTTAGGTCTGAATCTCTGCATCCAATCATACTGCATTACAACTATACTGGGAAAGAAAGGCCTGTGCTCAAAAGATTATATTCCCTTACAAAGTTCAGCTAATCTCTCTTACTGCTTTACTCGATATCAATATTCATAAAGCCATGCTTCCCCCTCAAGGGTTTATCAAGCTCTTAAAAAAGGAGAGAGAGATAAATACAGTTTTTTGCATATTGACCCTGTAAGCTGTTCCACTTTTTCCCCCCATTGCTTCATGAATATCAAAGCCATACAAAAATAAATAAATAAATTACAGGGAAATAAAATTAGACTCGCTTATTCCTATGTATCAAATGAGCTCAGAGAAGTGGCATTCTTATTTCCTGTTTATTCTTCAATGGGAAGGCATTATAAAGATTAGTGGAGAAATATCTGTTCTGTGCAATATGCAAGTCATCTGTCTTCCATATCTACTTCTCCGAATGAATAGGAGCCTTAATACTCACCTCGGTTATCTCTGACTGTGAAATTTGGATTGTGAATGATTTCAGGGGGCAGACTGAAGATAAATCTTGGTCCATTGGCTGTGTCATCCTTATCATCGGCACTAATTGTAACAATTGGCTGAAAGAGAAAGGTGGACCATAAGTATATCATGATGATGTCATTGCCATGATCATTTATTCAAAAATTCCTGGCTGGTTACCAAAAAAAAAGCCTGGTTTTAATGATGGAATCTAGCTTCTGAACGATACAGGAGTAGGGGTTCTCCTTGCACGGTGGGAATTATCTCCAAGTGATACTTTCCCAAGCAAACTCTGTTTCTAAATGGACTGCTTGTAGAACTAGGAAAGGAGAAAGCACCATTACCTGGTTGGAAAGTGGCTTGGTCTGGTCACTCTCACAGATGAAGCCTTCATAAGGGGCAGCAAACTTGGGAGCGTTATCGTTGACATCAAGGACTCTGATGGCCACTGGAACCTTGGCTTCCTGGTGTCTGTTGTCTGGAAGGAGAAAATGCAGATAGTGAACCCATGCCACCGCATAGGAACACACACATTGACCTAAGCTTGCTCTTGGGAATGGAAGGAAATATTTCAGTCACTCCGTTGGAAAGGCATGGTACCAAATGCTACCCACTTGTATATTTGATACGCTTTGGGAAGCGACTGAGTATTGAGGATTCTGACCAATTGGATGGGCTATTGCCTTGAAGGACACATAATAACATAGCTTTCTTGGGAATTGTGAAAACTAAGAAGTGGAGTCTCCTTGAAGGAAGGAGATCAACAGGAACAGGCTCTGAAAGATGTATCTTGTTCTCTGCTCCACTTTCTCTTTCTGCTTGCTATCTGCCAGGAAGTCTGCAGCTTCGTTTCCGTGGCTTGCTTTGGATGCCATGATGCTTTGCCATACCACCGGCACATAGCAAGGATGCAAGCAAGCTACCATAGGCTGAAACCTGAGGTGAAATATGTCTTCCCTCCTGTTAAGTGGTTCTTTCAAATACTTGTTACAGCAATGAAAAGAAAAAAAAAAGTGATGGATACAGGCACTATTGGCATAAAACCTATGGAAAAGCTGAAGACTGTTCAGTCTAAAAGAAGGATTTCAAGAATATATGTCAGTATTAGACCAGAAAATACTAAACTGCTTTGTCAATTCTGCTGGCCTTGATGCACAGCTTTGATTTTAAAGGGTTCAAGCAGAGCCTAATCCCCAGAGAGAGTCTACTTCAGTGGTTCTCAAAGTAGGATCCCTTAACATCACCTTATCTGACCTATTCTGCTTGTCTCAGACATACATTAGATATTGCAAATAAGGGAAACCATGGGACCTATGTTTCTTTGGGCTTGGCTTACTTCACTTAATGAATCCTAAGATATGTGTTCAAATGTTTTTTTTTTCTTTCATGCGATTGTTTCTAACGCATTTATAAGATTATTTCTTTGTTGCTTTGTATGTCCCTCCCCCACAGTATAACCCCTGCTCTCACTGTAAAAAAAAAAAGTAGGGTCCCCAAGATCAGCATCAAAGCCATCTGAGGAATTCTTGGACTTCATTCTTGAGCCCTGAAATGGGACCTAGAAATGTTTGCAATGCCAAGCCAACCATGAGATATCTGGAGTTCGTGACTCATGGACAAGTTCAAGAACTACTGGTCTATAGATAAACAGATCCCACAAGTTTTGCTTCTAAGGATGCTGTTTGGAGTTTAACCAGAGGATCATGAATTTAAAAACTGCTGAGGACTAACCGAGATCTTGCCAAGTATGTGTTTCATTCTGCGAAAGAAAATACAAACATTTGCACTTGCTTCTCTTTCTTCTTAGATAGGTCACTGAATATAAATTTCAAAGAATGAAAAGTATCTATAAGACTAAAATGTCTATCTCAGCTCTTTCATTTTCTAGACGATAAAGAGAGTCTAAAGGGATTACTATTCAGTAAAATAGAAACCAAAACCCTTATGAGAATACTTACGGATTTCTGCTGCAAAGACTGAGATGTTTAGCCAGGGCGTTTCTTCTCTATCTAGAGGCTTTGTAGTTTTAATAAAACCATCCTCTGGATTAATAGTGAAAAACCTGTCGAGGTCAGTATGACGATCAATGGAATACCTAAGCAGAATGCAAATGAAGCAATTAGACCAAGATATTCAGAGCAGCTTAATATCTGAATATTTTCTCCATGTAATATTTAAAGCACCTTTTTTCAATGAATCACTTGAATTAGGTCTTCCTTTTTTAATCAAATTTACTTCTTGAACTTTGAACATGAATCTTTTATAGAAATCATATTGCCACATTGGAATTCTGTATTCAGTACAATGAATGAAGCAACTCTTTAGCATATTTGATTGAGAAGCATAATCACATGTTGCATATTTCTCCATATTTACTACAATCACCCACCATCTGAATATTTATGAAATTGCATTTGGGAAGAAGCTCGCTTTGCTCCCAAACTACTCAGAAACTCACAAATGCAGAAAACCTTTACCGTTTTGTGGCACATTAAATATTAAACACTTTCAAGTTTATCCAAACTCATCATCAAAGATTATTTATAGCTCTTTAAAAATATCCATTTTCTCCTTATTTAATTAAAACATATTATCTATATTTTGGATGAATTGCTTCAGTTTCTTTAGTCATAGATATTCTTAGGTTGCTTGGTTTTGAAGCCTATGGTGAAAAATTCAAAACTGTGTTGGCCAGTAACTTTTGTAGCATTCTCTTCCTTTTTTTTAACCAAAAAAGGCTTTAACGGGCTTATTGAAGCCCATTAAATAGGTTATAACCACTCAACTATGCCAACTTCAAAGAGGAAAAAAAGCAAAGGTAGATCATTCATTCAGATAGCCTGCTTTGTTTCATAAAAGGGCAGTTTCCTAATTCTTAGAAATCTTCACTGTATTTCCCTAATTTTTTCAGAATGTATGCATTTGAAGGTGTTCATGGATCATCAGAAATATTAAAGAATATTATAGATATCAAGGACCATAAATATCACAGGGTATATTCTCCCAAATTTACAAATGCTGGAATTTACCAACAGCCTATGTCTAGTGTAGAGACTCCATTAGTAGAGCCAAGAGAGACTGCTCAGTGTCCAGTGAGCAGTACTTCACAGTACACACACAAACCATGGGGTGTCTGTGAGGTCCCCTGTGGGAATGGAATAGTGTGTCCCGTGCCTACTGTTCAACCTAAAAATGGCCAGGATAGAGTTTAGTATTTAGTTGGGATGACAGTAATATGAACCAAAAGTGCTAATAAATCAAGACGTTGTTCTGTAGTCTAAGCTTGTGGCTTTAAAATTTGGAAAGTTCTAGGTACAACTTTATGTTCTACTAACTCATTATTATTATTATTATTATTATTATTATTGGAAAGACGATTTAAGGTCTTTGAACCTCAGCATGCTTAGTTTATAAATTAGAATGGCAATAATCCTTAACTTCTGCATTATTTGTGAGAATGAAATAAAATAATAATATTTAAGATATTACCCTCATGTCTTACACACATCAAGGGACCCAACCTATAATATCTGCTTGTGTGTGTGTGTGTGTGTGTGCGCGCGCACACGCGCGTGTGTGTGCGTTGCTAGAAGCTCTCAGTTGTTGGAGAGTATCCTCCATCCTATAGCCAATGAGAAGTCATGGAATGCTGTCAAGGAGGGAAATAATTTATTATCTGAGTCATTACTAAGTAAGCATAGACAAGATGTTCTGAGCAAGTGAACTTGGAGGAAAGACCAGAGAAAATTTAAGGATCTTATATAGTCCTTAAAGCATAAAGAGGATAGGATAGTTTGATACCAGGGTGATAAGAGGACTGGAAAGTCATGATTTAAAAAAGAAAAGGAGGACTCAGCAGATATTTGGATGCCTAAGAAAGGTTGGGAGAGTCTTAGACATCTTCTGGCTTGAGTGTCTGAGTTGAAGACATGAAAAGAACGTTAATTTAGCAGAGAGGGACATGCTGAAATTCCTAAGACAGTAAAGACTTGACCCCATGGTAGGCAGAGGTATAATAATGAGCACATGAAGAGAGAAACAACTGGGTGAAAAATGCACAGCACTCAAGATGAGGAACACAGAATTAGAACCAGGAGATCAGACTACCGGCAGAGAATGTGGCACTTCATCTCAGTCACCTCAGTACACAAAGTACATTCCTACAATGCAGTGGACATACATGGAGAAGTCAAAGTGAAAAGCTGAGTTTTAGGGAAGCCCCAGCACCCGAACAGTGATCAAAGACTCAAGAGAGTACCAGAAATGGGGTCTTCTGGGGCATATACAATTGACTGTCAAGGAAACAAAGAGAATTATTTCAAGAAGTAAATAAAGTGCTAAACAAAAATGCATCAGAGGCTATAGAATCCAAGATACATACGACATATCCAAGCAGCTGAGAGTTGCGGTGATAGTGCAAGGCCTTACCTACTTGTCCAACTTTACCAAATACCTTCAAGAGGCAGAGCAGCCTCTGGGAATAAGAGGTCTGTGAATTAAAAACTCAAATGCCCTTTCACAATCTATCTGGCAATTCTAAGAACATGAACCAAAGGGGGTGGGGTGGGTAGCTGGTTCCAGTTCAATACTGAGCATCCGTAGATAATTATAGAATTGCAAATCTCCTACAGGCACAGAATAGCTACCACTGAAAACATGACCCAAATAACCAGTTGCAGTCATGGATCCTACTAGATAATGAATTGCAGAGGAAATGAATAGCTTTTCCATGAGTTTTTACGTCATTGTCCCTCTATAAAGGTCCTGATGCACATCAGCTCTCTAAATTACAGTTAATCCATTTAAAACTCATACTGGAAACATCTGTACATAGTTCCAAGGTGCAATGAGGGTCGCTGGTTTATTATATAAGGTTTCTTCCTACATGGAAATAATATAATAGTCCAATCTTTCTGGAGAAATATTTCCATTAGTTGCCAATGAGTTAAGGAATTAAAAGACCCGATTAGACCTAGAGTAGATTTGGGCTAAAATCCAGTTTCCAAAACTAGTCATGTGAGTTTATGGAAGTAATTTCATCCATTTGAACTCAGTCTTTACTTACTCCTAAAGCAGTCACAGCCTAAAACGCCATCTCTGATGAGTAACTTAAATAACTATATTAAACTCTAAACAGGATATGATGAAGGTCCCCAAAATATTGTAATTATCTTTCTCCAGAAATAAATATTGTCCAAAAATCTAACACAGAGATTCCTTCTATGCTACCATCATTTACTTTAATACAAATGGGCAAACTCAGTTGTTTATAATATTATTTTCATATTCAACTTTCTTTTTAATGTTTTCCTGATCATAGTGGCTCTGTAGTGAATTTAAAACTTTCTATTGTTACCTATCAATTGTATTGGTACAAGGATGTTTCCATAGGTGTTTCTTTGTGCAATGATCAAATCTAGGCTATTAGCATATCTATCATCTTAAACAGTCATCATTTCTTTGTAAGAAAAATGTTCAACTGCCTTATGTTATAGCTTTCTGGAATATAAAATACCTTATTGATTGGTATCAACCATATTTTCCTCCTTGCTACTGGTCTTAATTCTATCTCTGGAAAAATGTTTGTTTTGGAATTTTATAAGTATTTCCTTCCCAAAATATACTAGAAACCCCTAATATATGATTACTGAAGGTTTCCTGAATAGATATCTGAATAAGATGCCATCACTTTCTTCTACAATCACTCATATTTGTGAGCTTGATTTTCTAAGACAGGTGTTTCAATAAATGAGCATTAGAAATCTTCTAGAATAAATTATGTTCAGTGGAAAAATGCAGTGATGAACTAGAACAGAAGTCAACCCACCTTTTCTATTAAGGGCTGGTAAATATTTGAGGCTCTGCAGTACATAAAGCCTTTGCCTATACTACCCAGCTCTACCCTGGTAGCATTAGACCTGGCAGCTATAGGTAAATAAATCATGTGACCATCTTCTTTATCTTTTCTTTTTTTTTTCATGCCAATCCTGGGCCTTTAACTCAGGGCCCAACATCTGTCTTTGAGCAACTTTTGCTCAAAGCTAGTGCTCTCCTGTCTCTTGGTAGGTTAGTGGGAGATAAGAGTCTCACAGAATTTCCTGCCTGCCTGGGATGGCTTCAAACCACAATTCTCAGATCTCAGTCTCCTGAATAGCTAGGATTATAGCCGTGAGCTACCAGCACCCAATTTTTTTCTATAAAATTGTATTTTAAAAAAAAGGTGTTGAGAATAAAGTTGGAGGAATCACAGTTCTTGACTTCAAACTTAATATAAAGCCATAGTAATCAAAACTATGTGATAGTTTAATATGGACAGGCAGGCAGATGAGTGAAGTAAAATTGAGAGTCCAAAATAAAACCACATAGCAGTGGTCAACATTCAAGACCATTCAGATGAGAAGAACAGATTTCAATAAATAGTACTGAGATGGTTGAATATCTGCATGCACAAGTAAGAAGTGGAGTTCTCTCACTACATGTGAAAACCATTGTGAAATGCATCAAAGGCCATTTTCATTATTTATGCTTTGCCCTAGTTCCTAGGCCAGCGAATGGTTCTTTCGTCCAATATACATTGAGAAATCTGCTCCTTAGAGAAACTACAGCTTGAACAATCCTAACCAAAAATTTTAGTAACAGAGATGAAGTGCAGCTCCTATATTCTCAATCTTAATCCAACTTCCATTTCATTGGACCTCATTTTATCAGGTCCAATGATTTTGACGTGAGGAAAATGTGTTTTCTACATGGTTTTGCATCCAAACCCACTCATTCAAGTTTGTTTATTTTGTTGTTGTTGTTGTTGTTTGAAATTATATATCCCCATGTACCTTATTGGGCTGTTGGCAGCATCAGCATCTTTGGCATGAACTCTCCCAACCACTGTGCCAGCAGCTGCATTTTCTTGGACTTCGTGGATATAACTCGGGGCCAAGAACATGGGGGGCTCATCAGCATCTTCTACTGCAATCTTGACTGTCACGGTGTCTTTGAAAGGCCCGTTGCTGATGAACTTCGGGTCGATGTGCACGTTGGCAGCCTCTACCTTCAAGCTATACGCTCTTTTGGTTTCAAAATCTACGGGCTGGCAAGAATGAAGAAAAGATTGACACACAATGCCTCGAGAAGCTAATGCAAGAGAAAGAAAAGTTTCATGAGGCCAAGTAAATATTTCCTCAAGGAGAGAAAAATCAGGGGCTGGGAAGGTAGCTCAGTGGTAGAGTGCTTGTCTCGCATGCATGAGGCCCTGGGTTCGATTCCTCAGCACCACAGAAGCAGAAAAAAAAAGCCGAAAGTGATGCTGTGGCTCAAGTGGTAGAGTGTTCTCCTTGAGCTGAAGAGCTGAGGCCCAGAGTTCAACCCTCACGACTGACCAAAAAAGAGACAGACAAGACAGACAGAAAGAAAGAAATCAGTATCAATTAACATCCAATTACCTGAGCCATTTGGTCAGAAAAACAAAAGCAAAACCAGCCAGTTCAATCGCTGAGACATGGAATGTATTTAAGGGGTCATTTTTAGGATCCTAACAAGGAATGGCCACATTCACCTAAAATAAATTTCATATTCTCCAGTAATTCCCAGGTGGCTCAATTTGGTCACTTCAAGCCATCTAACAAAAGGCATTAAAATGCTACAAAAATAATTTTCTAGTCCATGCTGTAGAAAATGAAGACATTATGTAGCATATCCACAAATGTCACTCCAAGAACCAAGCACAGTCTCATTTGATATTGTCGAACATACACAGAACTCGCCTATTATAATCATATTTGCAGCTTCAATGTTTTGTAACTTTCTGACCACTGTGTTTCCCATCATCTGTAACTCTTACCAGCAGTATATGTGAGATTACTCAAGGGGGTTTATGGGTCCTCCAGGGAGGTGGAGCTATTAAATATCTTACTCATTGGCATCATTATTCCTTTCTCTGAATCCTGAACATCTGAAAATAGTGCTGATTTTAACATATCTGTTTTACTTCCCAATAGAGCTGTCTATGATTCTACTCTCTAGCTAAAATGAAAGGGCAGGGTTTTGTTGGCTGGCATTTATTTTTTAGGTTGCCTTCTATTAGTGGTAAGTGATGTTAGTGAAGCTCATTCTTCCTTCAGAGAAGAATGCAGAGATATGAAAAACATGGCCTGTTTTAAAAAAAAGTATAAGCAATACACATTCTACCTAGCTAGGAAAGAAACACTGAGAAATAAAACTGATTATAAGTAATCCTTCCTTCTCAACAAGAGGAAATTCAGAGAGTTAAGAAAGGGTGAGACACTGGGCAAATTCCAATGCCTAGGAAGTTTTCTAACTAACATTCTAGATGATGCCGAACTATCAAGTGTTTAGGGAAAGCTTGATACTTGAAGGCAAGCATCTGCCTGCCCTGTGGTTGTCATTTGCATAGCAAACACTGATTTTTGAATAGGCACCCTATTGTGAGGCTTAGATCTAACCTAAATCTGTACAGTTCCAAACCAGGGGTGGTCTCTTTCAGAAAGGTGAAACATAGTCAGCATCCTTTACACTTTATATCTTCCCATCTCTCACTCTGGAATCAGGGAACACAAGCTTTTCCTCAAAGTAAACCTCATCCCTGCCGCTGCATCACCCCAAGGGGGACCCAGCAGCTTCCTTATCCTTATTGTGTGTTCATGAACAGTGGGAAAGAATGATGTTTATAGATCTCTGAACCATCTGCAATTTCTCCGAATCTGTCATTACTAGACAGAACCCTGAGATAGGATCATGCAGAGAAGAGGTCATCTGTAACCAGAAAAAGGGGAGAAGTTCATTCCTTTCCTTTTGCTAGGGGAGGAACATCACAGAGGAATCCCCTGATTCTTGCCCATCTTTGTTGGCCTTTGTCTTCCCAAATGCCTGCAAACAACTCTCCCAAGTGATCTTCTACATCAATCCTTTTGGCTGAATGAGGAACAGGTCTGATGGTTGGCTGGATAACATTTACGAATGTGCTTTACCATTTACTCCCTTTCCTCTTTCCAAAAAGGAGTAGAGGTAGTTCCCCATGTGAACATTTATATCCATGTTATGAGTAGTTGGAATAAAGCTAAATGAGGCAACACACTGAATAAGCCATAAAAATCTTAATACCCCCTAGTTAACTAATCCCCACCTCTGAAAATTTTCCCTGAGGGATTAATTCAACAGAAAACCCAAACAAACAATATTCAAAAAATGCACAATATTTGTTCACTGTAATAGAGGGTTATATCTAATCTGGGGAAATGTATACACAAAACACCAAGTCCAACTGTGAGATTTTATTAAGGAAATAATGGTCCATCGATAGTTTGAGATGTTATGTAGTCATTAAAAATGATTATGTATATTATATAACAGCATGTAAAATGTTTATGATGTGACATTAAGTTAACAAATCTGATCACCCTATGATTACAAGCATGCCAAATATTAAGCACCCACATCTCTACACATGTGGACTCAGAATAGAAAGAAACATCAGATATAAAAATGGTTGTATGAAAATAAGGAGTACTTAAAATGTCTTATAATGCCCGTTTCATGCTGCTTCACATGTTTATTTGGCTGAAAATAAACAGCTTGGAAACTGTGCTGGGATTTCTCTGCAATAGATAGGATTCCCAGTTGGTTAAGGGTATTGCAGTAGACAGATTGGACTTGCATCCTCACAGCTAGCAATCTACCTAAAATGTTCGTCTCTAATTTACATTATCTTCAGCTAACCAATAGAGATTGGGTAAATACTCTGGGGCAAGATTTCTTTTCTCTTGTTCCCCCGTGAAATTCTGGACCAAGTCAGAACTCAAAAAACATTAGTTTTCAAATTAGTTAAAGAATGAATCAGTTTCTAATTATTTTTCTTTTGACTCTCCTTTGCTACGATCATACTACATCTTCTGCCTTGCTCGGTTCTTTGGAAGGTCTCCTTTGCATTGCAAACCACAGTTGTGCTATAAAGATCTCAAGTTCTAAAGACTAGATGCAATCTCATAGATGTAGCCTGTTTTCATGGATACCAGTCCTTCCAGAGTTCGCTTTTCTACCTTTTCTCTTCCCTCTATCTTTTCAAGCCCAACTGAATGATCAAGATTCAACTCAAGATGTACAGTTATTAATAGCCATACTCCTAGGACTTAATATTTATGAACACTGGATTTCAACGGGGGTGTGATATTTGCCTCCAATCATTCCAAAGATGTTCATGAATGACTAAAGCTATTTTTTTAATTAAAATAACTACTAGGGTAACTGACCCCTAGTGAGAAAAACCTAGATGACACCCAGAACAACCCTTAGAGCAAAGAAGGTCCCAGCTTGAAACTTCAACACTGACAAAGCGAGGAAAAGTCCTCGTATTTTAATTCTCTTCTCGCCACCACGTCCTGTTAAATGTTGATCTTCCTGTAGCCTGTACTTCTTCTCATGCACCTGAGCTTTACAGCTTTTACCAAGATCTTGTCTGACAAATAAAACATAAAACACGAGAACGCTGTAATTCTTTGTTGGCGAACAAAGTAAGAAATAAAAGAAAATACTATATTAACAGAATATCTTTTTTAAAAAAGAAAAGGATATCTCGAGTGTGGGAATACATGTGTATAATTCAAGCATTTGGGAGACTTAAGAACGAGGATCATGTGTTCAAGGCCAGCCTCCGTCACACACAACAGCAAAATCTTTAAAATACAAAAATACTTTCATGATTTCCCCATCCTGTTTGATATGATTCAACCACATGTAGTGATTTCCACAGGACTCATAGTTTTACTCTGCTGAACTTACTTTTGATTTTTTTTTGTCTTGGTGGACTTTTGGAACTTTATGCTATAAATTAAAGCAAATATTCTCTTGCAAATGAAGTATCCCCCTACATTGTATTAAACATACATGCCAGAGCTTTGTAGAAGACTGGTTCCTTGCCTATAAAAAAATGGAGAACTGGGGGAAAGTGCAAAAATTAATCATATGCAGAGAGCTCATTTGCCATATGTGAGTTCCATGGGGATGATTTAGGCATTTCAAGGGTTTAGCGACACGGTGCATGTTTATGCCCTGAATATACTGAACACAGGTGACAACCTTCACATTGCCAACTATCAAATTACTGCAGCATAGGGAGAATGGGAGGCAGGAAATGCTGATGTCAACGTTCATGTGTCAGTGTCAAGCAGGAGGGAGAGTAATATTAATTAACAAAGTAAGCTGACAGCTCCAGGCTGCCACACGGTTCACACAGCTACTTTTCAGAAGAGAAGTCAGAAGGAAAAAAAAAATACTTGATCCTTTTGTGGAGGCTGATTATACAGCTTCCTTGAGTTATTCCATTCATAGTGACTCATGGAGACTTTTCCAACTAGCTAAAAGGTTATCTCCAATCATCCCGCTCTCTCTTTCCATGCCTTGATTATGGCAGTCACCTCTTACTTTCTATTTGCTCTGTGTCTCCCACATATTTTCCGTCGATCCAACAAAATTCCCACTGTTGTAAAAGTTCAGCTTCCTATGACCCCATCACCATCCTCCCAGGATCTGCTTTCTCCCATCCCAGCCTTAACCCCTCTCCAGCTACTGGCCTCTTTATTGATTCTGCAAATTAAATCTTTATCCGTGTTGGAGTCCAATCTTCCCATCACCCCAAGAAACTTAATATTCATGCGATAAATCCAAGTAGAAAATGAAGGCTTGATTAAAACCCAGGTAATCCCATCATTGAATTCACTTTTAACACTCCATTCACTGTGAGTATGGACAGAGTTGAATTCTCAATTGGGGAAAAGCATTTTAGAATCTACTACAACTGTTCCTTCACTTGAAAGAGAATCTTACCTGACTTTCTTTTATGAGACCTTTGTGGCTGAATCATTTTCCAAGTGTCTTAAGAAGAAATGTGTTCCAAAATTTAATAGTTCTGAAGTTCACACCTGTGTGTGACTCTGAGCAGGTCAAACTACTGAATTTGTTTATGGCTCTATCACCTAACTAATTTGTTCCTTGGGACAATATTAAACACTTCTATGATTGTTTTTCATACTAAAAATAAATGAGATATCTGTAAGAGGTTCAGGCTAAATTGCATTATAATGTTGAGTAACAGATTTACAAACCCAAACAGAAGCGGTTAACACCTCTTTGCAATGAATTAATATAAGGGACATGTTTCTAATGACAGCTGACTACTGTGGAAGGTCCAATGTCACTGTTAACCTAGATCCAATTTTGAAAGAAAAAACAAGAGGCCTGTTTCAAATTCCACCAGAGTTCCATCACTGCAAGGAACCTTGGATGTTTGAAATAAGTTTTGAACAGCCTGAATTAACAGATTCCATTTGGCAGAACTAAAGAGGCTCAGGGCTACTTCTCCCAAGTCTACTCTAATCTAGTTCTACCAGAGAACTGTGTCCAAACATAGAACTAGCCAACAATCTCAGACAGGCATCATCACTACTTTAATCAGCAGAAACAGAAAGAAAATACACTTCTGTTATCTCCAAGTGCTCAGAACTGCGCTGCAAAATGAAGTCAGTGCCCAATTGCCCATAGTTTCTTTTCTTAACTTTCATCCTGTCCCCTGCCTGGTTGTCCGGGAAAAGCAAGTCACAGAAAATAGCAGAGACATGTTCAATTCCTCCTCCAAATTCACCTTTTTGAGCTTCACCACACCCTCCTGGGTTTCATAGTCTGTCGTGATTTCAAACAGCTCCATGCCATCTCCATCCACAATATTGTACGTGACTAAGCCATTTTCTCCGATGTCTGGGTCTTTAGCTTTGACTCTCCCAACTTCCTCTCCAGGGACTGCTGCCTCTGACACAGACATCTGGTACACACCTGGAAGAAGAGGAAGAGTTGGAAGAAAGAGGAGAAAAAGATGACATCCTTTTTTTATTATTATTATTTTGCAGCTGTAAACTTCCAAGTTTGTTTGTTTTTTCACTGAATCCCAATAAATTTCTCCAAGGATTTGAAATGGACTTTTCTATTGATTAAAAACATGAAAGAAGTGGAAGATAGATTAAAAATAAGAAACTGCAGGTGGCCTGATTACTAAGAGGTTCTGTTCTGTATAGGATGATGAAATAATTGGTGAAATATGAACTGAGGGGGTCCTTGCTCACATAGAAGGAACAATGCTTGTTACAGTCCTTAACTTAGACAATGATTAAAAACCAGCACCACTTAAACATATTCAAAGGGCTGGGTTACCATGCTTTAAAGATGGTCAGTAAGTTAATTTCAGGGGACAGCAATGGCATTGTGAAGGCCAAGGGAAAAACAAAACAAAACACTCTCTGTTTAAAAACAATTGAGGGGATCCATACTTATTTTAAAATCCAGTGTTTTATTTTACCTCTCAAGGTTATATCTGTCCCAACTCTCAGGCTCTCTTCTTAATCTCCTTCAACACCAGCTCAAGTACAACATTCTCTGTAAGCTTTCCTAACAGGTAACCTTTCCACATTCATATTTGCTTACTGTGTCTTAGGAATTTAGTATGTGTCAGGCACTGTCCTAACCCCCAAGAGACTTTAGAGTAAGCAAAACAGTCAAGATTTCTCTTTTAAAGAAGCACAGAAGAAGGAAAGAAAACCACGTGTGTGTGTGTGTGTGTGTGTGTGTGTGTGTGTGTGTGTGTGTGTATTCACTCTGATGTCATCACTAGGAAACCAAAAAATAAATTTCATTAAGAGATGTTAGATAATGAGAGAGTATGTGTTGGTTATATGTAAGTATACGATTGTGTGGGTCTGCTGGTAGATGTCTGACTCAGTGTCTAAGTTGTGTATATGTGAATATGTATGAATATGATGTAAAGAGTTTATCTATGACCATATAAGATATATGTGTGTGTGTTTGTGGATGTGGATGAATATGAGTGTAAACATATCTTCTGCTAAATATACATAGAAGGAGAAGAAGGAAGATTCATTTAATAGAGCCTGATGAGAGAAGACATCACATTCTACTGAAGAGAAAGAAAGAATGGGACAAGTGTGAATATCTAGGGAATAAAACATCACAGGCCAGGAAACAACAAACGTAAAGATTGCTGAGGTGTGGCATTGTGATTATATATAGAATAGCAAGAACAAAACTGTGGCAAGTGTGCTGTCTGGTAACAGAAAAGCGTAGGTCGAAAGTTGGGGAGTTGTGGCAGAAGCAAAAGACATTGAAAAGAGTTGGTGTGGGAGGGAAAGCCCAAATCTAACATTTTTCCTGTCATTATCTTGGCATTTTCAGGATCCTCAGTCTGAAACACACCACGCAGATGCAGCACGTGGAAACCTTGCCCCTCCTACTAAGCTAAGTGACCTCTTCAGCATTAGTTTCCTCTTATATGACTTTTGTCAGTTGTAGCACTCCTTCGGTGTTCATATTATTTGGCTTTGGGTATCTCCTCTTTGGACTTGAATTCGAGGTAATCTTAGACTTTCAGCTGGAAGGCACGGTGGGACAATCTCTCTGTAGACAATTACCAACATACAGAAAGATTACTGTTGTTGGGACTGTTATTTCTATCTTGGTTTTGTCCTTCACAAGGATAATAGAAAGAGCTCCTAAAATTGTAGACATTTCGCTTGAAGGCTGGATGAAATAGGCATGGGTTAAGAGAAGATGAGTCCTTATATGTGGCAGGGTTGAACACTGAAAGCCAAGCCAAACTACTTACTCTGTGGAAACTTTGGTGGGTTGTCATTGACATCTGTGAGTGTGATCGTCACTTTGGTTGTCCCTGAGAGTCCTCCCATGTGCCCACCCATGTCCTTGGCCTGAATCACCACGTGGTACTCCTCCTTGGCTTCCCTGTCCATATTGGGAAGGGCTGTCCTGATGATACCTGCATACGGGAGCAGAAAATATCACCAATATTCACTTATAAGAACACTACCATGCTGGGCACCATGGCTCACACCCATATCCTAGCTCTTCAGGAGGCTGAGATCTGAGGATCACAATTCAAAGTCAGCCCCAGTAGGAAAGTCTGTGAGACCCTGAAAGACCAGCAAAAAGACAGAAGTGGAGCTGTTGCTCAAGTAATAGAGCACGAGCCTTGAGCAACAGAGCTCAGGGAAAGCACCCAGGCCATGAGTTCAAGCTCTAGTACTGGCACAAATCAAACACACACACACACACACACACACACACACACACACACACACACACACACACAGCACACAGCACACAGCACACTACCATAAGGAAGATGTCTTAAGTACTACAGAAGAAAAAAAAAAGTCTTTCGCCTTCAAAAACATCATTTCAACAATTGCAACCTAAAACAGCTATTCTTGAATAACCACAGCATTTTCAAGCAAAATCATACAAGTTTCACAGGCAACAATTTTCTTTTATTTGTTTCTCTGAACATTCAAGTAAAAAAACCTCAAAAAATGCAACAATAACAACAAAAAAATCCTGGAGATTGAGATATTTGAGTGCCCAATGTATGAATAGCTATGATTTACTATTTTTTGGATTTCTTTTAGAAATCTATCCTATATGCAATTATTAGAAATATATCTATAGTTCATATGAATTATAAATTAGAGAGACATATTTTGTGCAGTAAATTTAAAAGCTACTATTAATATTTGAAAGAGTGATCCAATATGGGTTAGAAATATGTACAATGCTTACATAAATACCATCAGTTAATACTAATAACAATAATAAATTCACGATTGACTATTATTATCTTTAAGTAGTTGTACAAAGGAGTTGTCATATAACAAAGCAATTTATGAATAAAATGCATCTTGTTCCTGGAATATGATTCTTGAAAACTGCTCATTCAAATCTCTGGGGTATGTATGAAAGTATTTTCTCTGTCTCTCACTGTATCTCCTCTCTCTGTGTATAGATACAATAGAATTTGCACTAGATACATTAGTCCTTATTGTTTTCCTCCCATTGTTGATTTTGAGGAAGATACTGAAACTCAATGGACTTTATTTTCCTTATCTGTTAAATAATTTGTAGGTTCAAATGATAGTGATTAACCATGAATCTTTGAGACAATAAACAATAATAATACTCCAACTGTTAACATCTCAAGAACCTAGATGATCTTTATATTCCTTTATCATTGCCTGTGACGAAACCATAGTAGATGACTGAGTAACTCCATAAATTGTGGTCTGGAATAGTGTGACTATAATCAAATGTATTCCTGCATGAAAAACTTAAAGGTAAATCAACAAAATACTATATATATACATGAATATACAAATTTCAGTGTTAACCTAAGTATAGATTCTTTGTAATTATCTTTTTAAAAAGATGCCATTTCTTGAGATAATTTAAATGAGCACATTTACAGAATGTTAGTGTTTATTCCACTTGAGAATCAAAGTTGGCTTAAAATGAAGTGAAATATTTTGGTTTGTGTTGTTATTTTATTCAATTTGGGGGAGGGCAGGAATGGGGGTTGGGCATCTCTCTTCATTTTCTAAACTTCTTTTGGATGCCAATGTCCACTGAGAATCTGCCAGCTCAGCAGGAGAGATTAGGAGTGGGCTGTTTTTCAAAACCTCCCAAATATTAACACCTCCCATTTAGACCATGTCCAGTGGTATATGATTTGAGAGCTAACTGATTATCTCAGGCTGCGAGCTCTAATTCTGTTCATTTTGGAGACCCACAGTTCAAGACTTTTCTGCATGTTACAAGTATGTGTCATTATTACATCGTGACTTATGGACAGAAGTGCTAATAAACCATCTTCACACCATGTCAACTCTGTGCCCAACAGAGACACAAATTGTCTAATCGTTACCCTGATAATCTAAGGTGACCCTCTTCATACCCTTTTCCTATTTGAGGAAACTGAGGGTCAAGAGGTTTAATGAGCAGGCAATGAGGTTGCCAATTCAGAAATCACTGTGACAATAACATTCTCTAGTACCTGTCTGTGCCTCCACTGAGAAGTAGGGCTGACCTTCCAAGATGCTGTACACTAACTTGGCACTATTTCCATAGGTGGGATCGTCTGCGTCAGAAGCTGTCACCTGGATTACAGATGTCCCTGAAAAAGAGGATTGACTCATGAGTGACACTCTACCGGCTTTTCAAAGTTTGCAATGTCTCATTTTAAAAGAAGGGCAGCATCTCAATTATTCACTACTGTCTGAGATTTTCTTTTATCATTTTTATTTTTTATTATCTTTAAAAAGTTGTGTAAAGGATTCCAACTCAACATGTCAGTTTATGAGTATAATACATCTTGATCAAGTTCCTTCTTTTGTCCTTCATCTCCTCCTCTCAGACCCACTCCTATTTTCCTATACTTGAGGTACAAAACACCCATCCATCTTCTCTTTTGTTTTCTGTCTCTTTCTGATGACTTGCAGTTTAAAACTAAGCTTTCTGTCTTCTTAACCTATCCCACTATGCTGGGTTTCAATAATAATAGGAACATTATTGCCAAAACATTCTACGACCTATGCAATAGAAATGTTCAGTATGTCAAATAATTAAATAAAATCTTCCCAGAGAGTATAATAAATGATAATTAATGATGAATTGGTTTTCATGAAAAGGACAGAGTGCAATCTTCCATCTGCAGTAAAGCAATAAATATATCTTTTTATTGTTGCTTTGCATGCAATAAAATTGCTGATAATAGTATATTTTAATTAATTTATGGCTATAAATATTGTGTAGAATGTTGTTCCCTACTGGCAAGACAATTACCTCTTCCCACCTCTAATGGCTCTGGAAGCCATGTAGCAGGAACCATCAGCAAACACCCAGTGAGAACTAAGGCAAGCAATTGTGGGTCCAAAGGAAAGAACACCAGGGAATTGAAAGAGAATGGGATTCCATTTACTCAAAAACAAAAACAAAAACAAACATTTTTGTTCCTTACTGGTCACAAGTAACAAGAATCTGGGCAGAGCATGTAGGGTCTCACAGTGAGGAGAAACGAACTGAAAAGAAAATGGGCAATTATCTAGCTTTCTAGCATTATCTGGCTTTCTAGCCTTATCTAGCTTTCTAGCATTATCTAGCCTTGCTTTGGGTCACATTCTATGTACACGCCAGGATTTGTCTACTGGGCATTTTTTTACAGCTATTTTACTTGTGGGAAATCTGATGTGAGAGATATATGGCATTTTGCAATTGCTTTCACAAAGTTGTTTATTACCAAGGTCAGCACTCTAATCCTGATCCAGGGAAGTGATGAAACCCAAATTCCTTCAGTGACATTTTCAGCACGGAAGTAAGTTTGTAAAGTAGCCCTTACTTTCCAGAGTTGTCAGAGGATTTCATTTGATACACAAGCTAATCTCACTCTTTTCTAACTACTCCTCTGCAATTCATCATCTGGTGTAAACTATCCTTTCTGAGTGCTTCCCACAGGAGGAGATGGAGATGTACAAGCAAGTAAAAAAAAATGTGACATGACTAAGGAAATTGTTCATTTATTTGTGTTTAATTTACATCAAGCGCTTAACCACTCCCATATTTTCCATCTGTTTGGTTTAACCTTCACCATAGTCCATGACCCTGATTCCATAGATGACTATACGACATCTTAGAAAGGTGGAAGAACAGACTGGCCACATGTGGTTGGTCAGTGATACAGCAATGATTCAGTCCCAGTGTTGTCTGGGAACAAAGACTACACGTTCATAATCTGTGATAGGAAGTCTAGCTGCTGTCCCTAAACATCCAAAAGCCCCAGAAATAGTAAAAATACTCCTGGATTTTCTCTATCTATCTATCTATCCATCTATCTATCTGTCTGTCTGTCTGTCTATCTATCTATCTATCTATCTATCTCTGTATCATCTATATCTATATTTATATCTATGATGTCTGCTACTTCTTATGAGAATCCACAGGTGAATATGGAGATGGCAAAGGTCTAAGTAGGGAAAAGGAAAAAGAAAAAAGGAAATGGCTCGGCTTGGCTTTCACAACACATGAAAAGACTATGACCTTACTTGGAAGAGAAAGACACTATTTCTGGTCTAAGAGGCTCCAGAATAAAAGGATCTTAGATTTTAAGATCACACAGATGCTTAGTGTTTAGTTTCCTCATTTATGAAATAAGCTGTTATTGTGTGTTTGTTTGGTGCCAGTACTGTGGCTTGAACACAGGGCCTGGACACTGTCAACATTTTCACCCTAGGCTAGTATGGTGTACCTCCAGTTTGACTTTAAGTGGCTAATGATATGTTTCATTTGTTTTTACTGCCCAGGCTTGTTTCAAACCACAATCCTCAGATCTCAGACTCCTAAGTAGCTAGGCTTAAGGAGTGTGAGGTACCAGAACATGGCTTGGGCTATTTGTTCTTAATAAAGTCATGTGAGTTCATCTGATCAGACTAACATCTGATCCGATCAGTTCTGTTCACTACGGGAGAGACAAACATTTCAAATGACAGGCATTTCTCTCAAAAGGCCACAATTATGGACAATCTAGAAAGTCAAATGAAGGTGACTGCCAGGGGAAATTGACCACTTGGTTCAGAAAACCTTCCTTTTAGAAATGCAATATAGCTTCAAGCATATTGTAAAGACATACCTACTTCTAAAACAATACATGATGACATAGTGCTGTGGTCATGTATATTCTGGATTCACTTAATACCACAGATGGTTCTGGATAAATGAGTTAACCTGCTTCTGGTGTGAGTTCTCACTGTAATAGAGTCTATTGGACCTACCTACAGCACTAAAGGATCAAATACAGCAAACATTAAGTAAAATAATGTGTCAATCCCCGGTAAACACAATGCTTGCATGCAAGAAACATTATTTCCTATTGCTTACTGAACATCCAGTGACTAGATACATTTTATTTCTATTCCTATTTTGCAGAGAAAGAAACTAAGGCTAAGAGCGTGTTATTCTTAAAAGCCGATGCAATTGGTTCCAAGATAACACCAAGTACAGGTTCACCCCAATTCTATCACTTCTTTCCCCTTCTCCGTTCTTCCTCATATTTACTGACCTTTGACTATAAAACCATTCTTCCCCGTATTTCTTTGACTATAAAGCCTCCCGCTCATTTTAAATGTTGAGAAAAATCTAGATAAACAAAAGAAATGAAGGGGGTGGCGTGGAGTGTGATTGTTGCCACCGCACAATACAGCATAAGATCTACTTCCTGAGTTGGGAGGCCAGGCATTGGTCTGACCACCTACAGAGACGCCAGGCTGGAAGCGGAGCTGGGCTTCCCCATGTACGCACCCACATTGGACCTCTCCGGCACGTTGGCGTGGTAGGTCTCGTGCAGAAACTCCGGAGGGTTGTCATTAATGTCCTGGACTTTGACGATGAATTCTGATGGGGGCTCCAGTGGCCGATTGGTGTCCCTGTCCACCGCCTGAGCCATCAGAGTATACTGTGCCCTCTCTTCACGGTCCAATGTCTTGGTGGCATGAATATTCCCTGATTTGTCATCAATCACAAAAATGGTTCCAGCTCCTTCCCCTGAGAGAATGTATTTAATGTTCCCATCACCAGAGTCAATATCAGAATGAAGCTAAAAAAAGAGAAATCAAGATTTATAATTTCATGAGATGAAGTCTCAAGCTGATTGCTATAAATGCATGCACAGATGCACACACATACACACACACACACAGAGGTATCATGAGAAAGATAGTTTTACCCTCATTTTCCAAATTAAGAAATGGAATCATAGAGAAAAAGCATCACCTTGGCCAAGGCTAAACAGCTAAGAAGTAATAAGGCCAGGTTTCAAACATTTCCTTTTATATTCCAAGATTTTGCTCTTTCTCCCTCCTTCATGAACATGAGCATATAGCAAAAACATATGTACTTACACATGTCTTTCCTTGCCAATACTCGATCTCTGCCTAGCATTTGCTCAGCTTGCTGGCTTGGCTGGAGCTCTACCACTTGAGCCATGCTTCCAGCCCTGCTTTTTTGCTGATTAGTTAGAGATGCAGTTTCTTGGACTTCTCTACCTGGGCTGACTTGGAACTGTGCCCCCCCCCCAGATCTAAGTTTCATGAGTAGCTAGGATTAAGGTATATCTTAGTACATACTCTAAGTTACTATGAATAAAATGAATACATATGCTTTCAAAAAACTGAAATCGGGGGAGGATTGGGTGGGGGGCAGGGGGGAAGATGGGAAGGGATGGGAAGGGGAAACAAAGGAGGAGGCTACAATGCTTGATAAGAAATGTACTCATTATCTTGCCCATGTAATTGTAACCCCTCTGTACAGTATTTTCACAATAAAAAAACTGAAATCTACATTTATGCTGACTCCCATTTTCTCTGCTCCCAAGTCAACCATGTTTATCAGTTTCTAGTTAATCATCTAACAGATGTTCTATGCACACAATAATCTATTTCTATAGTCATACGGGTCCTTACTTAGTGTTAACACTACAACTTCCAGAAATACACCTCATTCTTACCCTCACCAGCTCCCTCTAACACTAAATAACCTAATACTAACTTGAAATGTCCCTTCCACACACATAGATAGATAGATAGATAGATAGATCCCCTTCGTCCACCCTATGATTACTATTGTCATTGCTTCTAGCAGTCTTCTTCAAAGGACACTTGGCTTGTTTTCAGGCTTTATTACTATAAGCAATGCAATTGATCAGACTTTGCCAAAAACCCTGCTGTATGGAACCCAAGGTCTAGGATTTGGGGATGTATTCTTCTTGGAAGCATCTTATTCTTGCAATAAATGATGGGGTGGGTGGGATGGGAAGATAGGCATGCAATTTATTGGACTTTTGAAAGCACCATAAATATCCTTGAATTTCTCCCATTGTCAAGAAAGCCTAGACACACAGTTGTTCTTGATTAAATCCACATTTGCCAGGCTATGAAATTATGCAGCTCTCTTATTGTCTGTCTCTGTGACTGTCTGTCTCTGTGACTGTCTGTTTCTCTCTCTCTCTCTCTCTCTCTCTCTCTCTCACACACACACACACACACACACACACACACACACACACACACAATATTGAGGGGGCTAAACTCAGAAACTTGCACTTTCTAGGCAAATGCTATTCCTCTGAGTCACTTCCCCAGACCCACTTCATGCCTCTTAGTTAACATTTCTGTGTTTTTCTCCCAAATCTGGTCTGTGTTTCAGAAATGGAACTAAAGCCAAAGACTCCTCCTGACTTCCCTACATCAATGACCTCCTCACCCTCCTTTCTTAAGTCTTGATTTCTGCAGCTATCATTTTAATCTGAGTTCCTCAATACCCATTATTCGCTGTGTGAGGACAGATGAAGGTTTTTTTCACTATATTTTATCAGCTTCAAAAGTAACCAAGTACAAAAAATATGTGTAAATGTGTACATATATATACATACATATATACTTATTGGTTCTACCTGCTACATAAGAGCCATTGTACAGTAAATGACATATTCGATTAGCAGTAAAATAAAACAATAATCATCATTGCTAATTTCCATTTAATATTAATAATATTAAAAAAAATTTACAAGTGTCATTTGTTACCAGAATTTTAATTATGGTTGTGAAAGCAAGACCCAAAGAACTTTCCCAGAGCCATAAAACAAGATTGAACACACAGCCCTATACACCCAGTATTATTTCTCCAAAGATATCTACTTGGTTTGCAGTGTTTCAGTGAAATACCAACTATTTCAGCTCAAAGGAAAACAGAGTATTTACAAAGGCTGTTTTGTTTTTGTCTCACATGGTGTCTTGAGGAGGGAGTATATTTTCCTTTAGAATTAATTCATACCAACCCATGTGTTTATGCGAAACTATGGCTGACATATTTCTTAAGACTAAGGCTCATTGTGTTTAAAATATGAATTTATTTGGTAGCCTTCAATGGGGAACTAGAATTACCCCAATTTCCATACAAACTTACTCAGTAGAGGCCTGCTCCCTGCCCCTACCAGAATCCTCCTCAAGATTGCTATATTGTTTGTGAATTCAATAAAAAATTTCCCTAATTCTGAGCTGGAAACTTAGACATTCATTCCAGTGAATGAAAATAAAAGAAATAAGTGGGAAGGATACTAAACATTTCTGGGCACCTTCATAAATGACTACAAATTTGAAAAGTTGTTTCAGAATTAAAAGCTTTCTTGATCAGCCAAATAATAGAAAATTTTACAAAAATCATACCCCATTATTCTTTCTACATTGTCTTCAGATTTGAAAATGAGGTTTACATTCCTACAAAGATGATGTATGGTACTGACGATGATACTTATCAGGTTCCATACTGAAAGCAAATTGGGGAGAACCTATTCAATGCTGTCAAGAGATAGAGTTGCTGCATCCCACACAGCCAATTCCTAACACTGAACACTGATAGCTTCTTCCTCAGCTTGGCCTAACATGACACCAGGGCTTTTCTTATAAGAAATGTGAATATCTGGGTTTTTTTTTTCTAAATTCTCCTTCATCGGGGAAGCACTCAACCTTGTATATCATCAAATTCAAGGCTGTTCAAGAAAAAGCCAACTATTCCTGCTACTTGTAAAGCACTATGTCAGCAGTATTTCTAAAGGAAGACCCAACCACTTTTTCTTCTCCCCCATCCAACCTGATCCAAGGCTGACTCACATAAGCATCGCTTTTCAAGACCTCATAGTTGGAATAATGCATACTTTTCCCTTTTCTTTCCCTCCATTCCTGCGTTCCCCCTTCTCACAGTGACTCATACACAAGCTCTCGTATGTCTCAGACTTCATAGTCCCTGCCTGGGCGGAAATCTCTTCCTGCTGTCTAGGCATCAAGCCCAGCTTTTCTACTTAGATAATTCTATATGACAATTTTCTCCCCTGTGATTCCATTTTCTAAGACTATTTGCATAGCTTTCCATTTAGGGTATAAATAAATGAAACTTGTTTGATCTGGAGAGAAACATACTCCCAATGCTAAGAACTCTTATTGGAACTCTCATGAACCTCCTCCAGTATGTAAACTTGGTGTCCTGCTCTTACATTGAGGAATAAGATAACTTTGTTGGACTACATGGAACACTGAAGTAACAAACCTTCTTATCCATTCTTGCCTCTCTTCCCATTCATTGAGTAGCTCCTACTTCTCTTTTAGATTGCAAGTTTTACTCTGTGTGAATCTTGCCTTCATTCCTTCTAAGTGTCATTGTGTAAGTTTATATTACTTACATTGAATTCTTTCTCATCTTTGTTTTTATCATTTTTAATTGACTGGATAATTGTCTCCTTCCCCTAAACTCTGAACTCTCTCTGTTCAGGGATTATTTAGATCTAGTTTACCATCTGCCTAGCACTCTTTGCACATAGTAGAATTTTATTGCCTAGAATCTAAATATTTATCTCCTGGTTGTAAATGCCATTATCAGCTGAAAGACAGATCATGCTTTACCACCAACAATAGTGTCAGGTCAAGTCTTCTAAATGTGTTTTGGATTCTCTTTACATTTTTTTTTGACAGGGCAACACAAAGAAGATAGAATCTTAGTAGTGCTAGCACTCTGGAACAATCTCATTTGGGTTTCACCATCTCTACCATCACGAAGATAAAATCACACCCATCCTTATGGTGTACCTTCATTTCATCTGGGCTTAGTGTGAGGGCCTGGGGAGGCAGGATGGCATTGTCCCTCATGCACTGTAACTTTGGGTCTAGTTTGAAAGATATAAATAAATACAAGAAAGAATATCATAATTAAAAAAAATAATAGCTGGGGCCTGGTGGCTCACACCTATAATCCTAGCTACTCAGGAGGCTGAGATCTGAGGATCATGATTCGAAGCCTGCCTAGGCAGAAAAGTGCCTGAGATACTTATCTCCAATTAATCGCCAAAAAAATCGGCAGTGGAGCAGTGGGCTCAAGTGGTAGAGTGCTAGTCTTGACCAAAAAAAGCTCAGGGACAGGGACCCAGCCCTGAGTTCAAGCCCTACCACTGACTATTATTACTACTACTAATAATAATAATAATTAAACAGTGTCATGAGTAAACAAAGGAAGAGCCTCCAAGTTAGGATTAGGAGGTAATCAGAGAAATCAATCTGCATGGTTAAACAGATTAAACTCTTTCCCCTTTCAGTAGACTATTGGGCAGCCATTACAAATGGTGTTTTAATGGTATAATATAACAAGTGAAAAACTAAAGCATTTGCAACATGGATAAGTCCATGGTCTGGGGAGAAGAGAAGAAGACTGGAGAGATCTATGTACAATGAAATTCAGTTTTTACTGATGTGAGGGCTTTCGCTTTTTCCATCTTAGTTATTTTGTTTTGTTGTTTTTATTTTCCCATTTCTCTACATGCTGCTGTACCACTCTGGCTGGAGACAGACGGACGTTAAATGTAAGTAGCCTTACCCTGCCCACAAGCACAGGGTCAGGCCCGGTGTACTCCTCTATCACAAAAAACTGGTTCCAGACCCATCCTCGCTTGGAGCGCTGTAGCACCTGTCCTTCTTTCCCCTTTTCATGGTGTCCGTGGAATGATGGCCTCAGGTGGCTTCGTCGCTCCAGGGCAAATGCCTGGCTGTGCCACAGCATGCTCAGGCACACCAGAGCAGCTTGTAAACAGTAGTTCTCCTTCATTTTTGGTTGCGTGGTAGGCACAGGAGAACGCAGCTGTCACCCCTTCAGCCAACTGAGTTAGCAGTCTTCCCCAATGCTGGCTTCCCCGATGCGTCAAACAGACCTCTCCTGGAATGGAACTCCTTTGTGCGTGGAGCGCATCCCGTCAGGGCTACCCACTTCCCAGTCAGCTTCTGCAAAGAGAGACAGGGTGGGGGGGGCGGGGGGGAGAGGGAGGAGAGAGAATATGGATTAGCTTCCCTCTTCATCCTTCTTCACAAGATTTCATTTCCACTTAGCAAATACGGAAAGTTGTATGTCTGTTTTACCACTTGCCAGCTTTGGGAAAGCTAACTGATGTCTTTGAGCTCAGCTTGCTTGTGTCTTAAAAGAAGGGGAAAGCATGGTATTCATTGTTTGCTTGTCACAGAGATTAAATGAACAATGTAAGTATGTCTATTAGCACAATGGTTGATATATGGTGAACACTATATTGCTGTGTTATTCTAATTGATCATTACTGTGCTTGGCTAAGTTCTTACACTGGAGAAACATGGGGGCTTATTATTTGGCAATAAATTGCTTTCTCTCGGAGATGAATTGAAGAGCAGGAGGTTTATTCAGGACATCACAGTCATCAAGCTTCGGTAGTCCAGGACCGAGAAAATTACCAGAATTCTAACTCAGGGGTGCAGACGCCTTCCCTTCTGAGGTTCTTTGATTGCCAATCCAAACCTTTCCATTTCCTTTGTAACTTGGCAAACTGTATTTGAAAGGCTACAGATGTACAGTTAAATTTGAGGTATTTAATTTCAGTAAGGCTCTGTGATAGAATTGTTAATCCTTTCCAAAACAAAATAGGGAATTGAAACCTTCAATAATTGTTAGATATAAAAACTCTGGGGTTAGTAAAAAGCCTGTGCAAGAGAAAGACAAGTTTGAAGAGGCTGTATGTATCAGCAGGATCAGGTACTTCTGTAATCCCAGGGAGGGTGAGATAGGACAATTGTGCATTTGAAGCCAGCCCTGAGAATATAGTGAGGTAAAGGAATGCCTAGGCTAAACAGTAAGATATTGTTTCAAAACGAACAAATACATAAAGGATAAGAAGTATAATTATTTAATAGCTGCATCCTCAGATGCAGCATTTTAATAATATATCAAATGATGCTTTCCATAAGCAAAATGGACTAGGTATAAAGAGCAGAGAGACGGCTGGAGGGGAGAGGAGGTCCTAAAATAAGGCCATTGGCAGTGACAGGAAGAGCTCCGGGATTCCGTGAGGGAGCTTGGGATTTGGTCCAGAAGGTGCCAACAATTTGTCTTAGAACCTTGTTAGCTTCTTCCTCTTTCTCAGTAAGAAGAAACTGTTGACTGAAATTTTCTACCAATCTCTTCCCAGCTATCAGAGAGATGATGATTGATGGTGGAGGTAGCTGATTCAAATACTGTATTCTTAACAGTCGGCATTATGTTATAGAAAATGGATAGATAGATGATAGATACGTAGATGACACAGACAGACAAATAGATAAACAATGGATAGCCTAACCAGTAACTGGTACCTATATAGAGATAGCTAAGACCTGCTCTTAAACTAGGCCATCCACAAAATGTATGATTTAAGCCACACAGCTCTTGTCAAACTTAGTTTTGCCTCTACAGAAATTCATCAAGCAAGAGAGAGCAAAGAACATATGGAGTAACAAAATCCCTGCCCATTTTGTATCATGCCAAGTATTAAGTGTTCACTCACATGGTGATAAATTATTCCTGCATATAAACTGTGAAGTGTATTTGAAAGAAATAGTTTAATTAAAGTCGATGTTTCTGCACCTCTTTCTTCTGGCTGCCATTTTGCTGCAAAGCATGATTATTTCTGACACTAAAGTGTTGCAACCAGATGACAACTTTTCCCCCTCTTACCAACAAAACAAAAGAAGTCTAACTTAATACTCAGGAATTTGAATGTCCTTGTAACCTGTAAACAATGAACTTCATCCTTGGTCAAAAAGATCACACCACCTACTGTCTTCTATTAGAAAGAATCTGACTCATTGTTTTGTGCATATGATCTATAATACATAACAGTTATTTTAGTGACTATCTCAGATTTGTGTAAGATCAATTTTAAGACTTGTTACTGATTCGCTTCTGGAATAAAGTTGTGTTTAGTGAATTATTTTAAGCCATTGTTCTGAAAATTTTACGAATATGATCTCTGTAAAAAGTTTATGAGTAGGTACTATCCTTTTATTAAGGATAAGGAAATGTGGACCAAGATAAACTAAGCGACTTGTTCTAGGGTGGGCTGCTAATAATAGCAGAGATGAGATTTGAACTAGGCTCTTACGTCTATTAAACATTGACCAATACTTCTGGCTATTTGCTTTCAACGTTCATATAGAAATGGAGTGCACACTGTGATTAAAGACATCTGAATGTGATAAGAAAGACAAAACTAGAATTCTATGTATACCTATAATATAATTATTATGAAAATATTAGTAATAGCTTATTAGGTATTAAGTACCTATCATTTTTGACAGTACTGGTTCCTTGTACCTGCTAGGCCTCATTTATGCTCTCATGTTTTTTTCAAATAGGGTTTTGTTTTTGGCTCAGGCCAGCTTGTATAGCCTCCAAAGTATGCATCCACCATAGTTCAGAGGACAAACCTTGTCTGTTGGGGTGGGGAGGGGGGCGGAGGCTCTTGTAAACTTTTTGCCAGGTGGCCTTAAACTGTAATCCTCCCTATCTCAGTCTCTCTATTTAACAACATGAGCTGTTAAATCAAGTATTACTGTAAGGAATTCCCTTGAGTTAATTCATGAAATCATCATACTGCCTCTACAAAATATTATTATCATTCCCATTTTAGAGGTAAATAACTCTGATGCCATAGTCATGTAACTTGCCCAAGATTAGAAAAACAGCCAGTGAAGAAGCTGAGAATGTTTAGATTCAGGGCCTGTCCCCTTTCTACCTGATCCTGACTCTCTAAGGGAAGGTTGGACATCTAGTTTGGAAAAACATTCCTATATGCATATAATAGCTTTGTCATGATAATAATTTTTGGCACATGAGCAGTAACTAGACTATGAGCAAAACATACTAACCAGATAAAAAAGAGAAAGCACTTCATAACAATGGTTAAATAGAAAGTGAACAAAATACAATTATACCAGCCACTCCTGGTCATACTCTTATTGCCCTATATTTCATGAATGATAGCTTTGGTTTTTTATTGTTAAATCTCTATTTCAGAATGTCTAAGTATATAGGCTAATTGATATACTCAGAGATCTCTTCTATGTTTAGTTTTGTTTCTCTGAAAGAACTGCTTCTACAATAGAAAACTGATGGATTCATTTAGTGGTAGAGACTGTGCAAGAATCTCACATGAAAATTAATAGAAGACTGCTCTCCTAAGGAGACCTTGACATCAGTAATAATTAGGAGAATATATCAATGTTCTAATTAGTTTTAATAAAGACCCCCAAGGCAGATCTTGAACAATCCTTCCATTAAGCATTCTCCAGCTGCTACATACCAGGACGCCTAAACATTGGGGTTCCACTAACACATATAGGGGGACTTTATTTTATGATGGGAACACTTTGCTCAGAGCGAAAAACAAATGTTGGTGAAAGGCACGGGGGTAATAACATGACAGGAAAATGGATTTGCAAAATCACCAGCTCAAAGTGGAAGGCTCAGCCCTCCATCTTCAGAGCAGAGAAGCCGGTCATAAACTACTATGCCTTGAGCATAACGTTCTCTTGCTGGGTCTGCTTTTGTCTCTGTAAAAGAAAATGACATATATGGGTGTTTAAGTATATTTGGATTCCTGCTGGAAATTGTTATCGGGGAGAGAGAGAAAGACAAAAACGCTTAGCAAAAAGCAAGCGGATTTAGGTTTTCAGCTTTTTCCTCCCCACAGAGCCAGAAGGATCAGGCTGACTGACCCATTTTTTTCTTTTTATTTCCAGGTAGCTAATTTACAGCTAAAGACAGGTTATTATTACATAAAAAAAAAGAATATATCGAAGGTCGGCACCTAAACTCAAAATCCCATTTCTGTATCTGCAATATCCCCTTGTTGGTGAGTGCAGGGGCTTTAGCCTGCCCTTCAACAAATAGAGCTTTGTAACCAATTGGATTCTATTATGCAAATTAATTCAAGCATATTTTATTCCCCTTTCAGATCTCATCACTCAGCACTGAGCTGGTCTCCCCTTTCAAATCAAATCACAGGAATTATGCCTTGTCCGTGAAAATCATAGAGAAAGGGGACAGCAAGTATTACAAGAATTATTGAATCAAAATTCTTCTTCCCTGATTTCTATACTTGGAGAAAAGCATAATCTTGGTGTAATCACTTCCTCTCAGGTGTAAAATAGATCATGAAGACTACAAAAGTGCTATGATATATGTTGCTTCACTCTAAAATACCAAGTTTGAATATTATAGTTTGTGGCAAAAACTGACAGTAGCTCTTCTCCAAGGTAAATCTGATTCTTTGCTTGTGGGGAAACAGAATCGTGGGAGTTGAGCTTTGATCATAAAAAGATGATTTACTACCTAAATGTCATACAAATCTTGGTCAAAATTCGAACTGTGTCACTATGAGTTATATAGAACTGAATAATAATAGTAGTGCTATACTGGCCAGCATGCTTTGGTACAACAATTTTATTCCATTTTCTTTTTTATTTTTTTTAATTGTAAAGAGACTGAGCAGAAAGGTTACAGTTACACGAGTAAGGTACTGTGTACAATTCCTATTGAGGATTGTTACTCCCTCCTTGGTTTTATTCCATTTTCAGCAAAGCTGTGTGCATGATATTCTCAGATTCTAAATATAAGAAAACTGAAGTTCAGAGTTGGAAAGTAACTTACCCAAGTCCACCGTAATGCATCGGAGGCAATATTACAACTCAAATTCAAGTTTAGCTGAATGCAAAACCTGCATCTAACTGTGGGATATTTTGGTATGTTTTGAAACTCTTAGAAGTCTGTACACCTAACCTTCAATAAAAGAAGACTGTATGATCCATTCCCAAGAATTATTTGAACCTCAGAATTTTAGGTGATACTGAATTTCATTTATTCACTGCCTATACAATCAGCTCTTCTATTCTCAGGGCTTTATGGCTGCAAGGATTCAGGAAATCCAACTTGAGGCCTCAGA